TGACCCTAACCTTGGGCAGGACCAGTCGGGTCAGAGGACCCCCGAGGAAGAGGCAGGCCACCCAGCTTTGTGTCTGGGGACTGAGAGGGAAGCTGGGTCCTTGATGGGCATGGGAGGTCCAGGAAGGGCTGCTCTCAGAGACGGTGGTGCCCACCTTGGCGTGGCCGCTGTGGGGGAGGGACCCCAGCCCTACAGAGGCCCGTCCAAGTCGGCTCTGGGGTCCTGCTGGGAGCTCGGCATTCATTCACACACTGACCCTCTGCTACTCCTGTGCCCCTTCACGTGCTGGGCAGGCTGTGGGCCCGGGGGAGATGGGGTGCAGTGCTCGTGGGTCACTGGAGGGACAGATGTGGGATGGGRGTGTCCCCCACAGTGGGCAGCTGAACACCCTGGGCAGAAACAAGGACACCGGCTCAAGGCCCTGCAGGAGTTGAGCAGGAGTCCTCCAGGACTATGTRGAGAGCAGGTGAGGGCCAAGGGCTTTCTGTCCCCAGAGGCACAAAGCCAGTCTTGAGAGACTCCCTCCCCCCTGTCTCCATGGTACCACATGGCCCAGCCGCTCTGTCCCCAGCCCTGGGACCTCAAATCCCTAGTCCTGGGGCCTCTCTGTCCCTAGGCCTCTCTGTCCCTAGGCCTGGGCCTTAGTTGGACCATCCTGGGGCTGAAAGTCCCACCCCCGGGCAGGGCTTCTCACCCCGGGCACTGTGAGACTTGGGACGGGGTAACTCTCTGTTACGTGGCTGTCCTGTATGTTGGAGGACATTTCCCTGACCTGGAAGCCAAGAGGTGGCTTGCCAGGTGTCCCCTAGAGGGCAAAATCWCCTGGCTTGCCTGGTCATGGAAAGTTCTTAAAGGCGCAGGACTGTCACGGCTGCACCATGGCACCAGCCTCGTCCCCCAACTCGTAACTCAAAACAGAAACAAGATCTGCACACGGCTAGTGACCAAATAAACCCAGGCACAAAACTGTCTTTCCCCAGGAGCTCCTCGGTCATGCCTCAGGCTCACAAAGGAGACGGGAAGTCTCCCCAAAACTGACTCTGCGGGTTGGGAGGCCACAGAGGCCTGGAAGAAGGCAGGGCTGGAACACAGAGCTAGAGGAACACCCCATGAACAGCCTGCTGTAGAATCCCCACCAAAACCCCACAGGATGGTCGTGTTCTCTGTGTCAGTTCACGTAGGACTAGAAATGCAGGCTCAGAGAGGTAAAGCAATTGGCCAAGGCCACACAGCTGGAAGCTTTATGCTGGGACTTGAGCCCCAGGTCTGTCTGGCTGCTTTTCAGTGCTGCGCACGGCCAATGCCTTCAGCCTGTGCATCTTACAGGCGGGAAAATTGAACCCACTGAGGGAGCAGAACACGGACGTCCCCTTTGGGCAGCACTTCACAGGTTCTGACGCACTTTCCCATTCTTTTTCTGATTGTATGCAACCTAAGCGCCATCAGGGCCGGTGATGCTGGCTCCATTTTGCAGATGTAGGAAAAGCATGGTCAGGAGGGCTGCGGCAGCACACTGTCCTCTGGAAAACCAGACTGGGCCCGTGGTGAGCACGGCCACGCTCCCTGGGCAGGCCGTCCGCGGCTCCTCGTGGCCAGCACTGCATGGTGTGCTCTGGAGGACCTGGCAGTGGGTGTCCTGGCCGGGCCCTGCCTGCCGAGGGGAAGCCTGGAGATGCTCCTGTCCACCCTGAACCCGCTGAGCAGTGCRGTGGGCTCCTGGGGTGTGACGCAGCCCCCGGGGAGACACTGTCCACGGATGTTTGCAGCTCACATCCTGTAGAAGCTGGGCTGTAGCTTGGGCCACTGGCAACCCAGACACACACCCCAGGATTTAAACAGACCTTCACTCCCTCTCAGACGCCCGTGCAGGGTTCAGGTCCCCTACACCATCMCCAGGGACCCAGGCTCCTTCTACCGTGCTACTCCACCATCCTCCCCTTCTCTCCATCCACAGGCTCCTCCCACTTAAGGACATGACCTGGAAGTTGAAGGCACCACCTCCCTCACGACCCCTTTAGCTAGAACCTAGGTGTACAGTTGCACCTAGCTGCAAGGGAAGCTGGGAAATGTAGTCTTTATTTCGGGGTCACCTTGTCCCATTTAAGCCTGGAAGGGAGCAGCCGAATCTCCAGCTCTCTGGCCAGCCTGAGCAGGACTGAGCGGCGAGGAGCACAAAGCCCTCCTTGGCCAGTCGTCCATGACCCCGATGTCACAGTCCCTGGCTTGAGACTCAGAAAGGCCTTGAAGGCAGGACCACAGGGCCCCACACCAGCACCCCTCATAATGGCTGCCAGGCACCAAGTGCTGGTCCTGCCAGCTCCTGCCCTGGGCCTCTCCCACTAGGCCAGGATTCCGGTGAAGGGGCTGAGATTCTCCCCTTAGGTAGAGACTGTAAGGGTCCCCCAAAAGCTCAGCAGTCAGGATGCACTTTATGTGTGTGTGCGTATCCACAGGTGTTTTAAAACAGGGCAGTGGCTTTTGGTGTCTGCCTGAGGTCATGTGACCAAGACCACTGAYGTGTACCCATCAGTGGTCACTCTCCCTTTGGGCCTCCCCCCCAGCCCGGCCCCTGGAAACCACAAATCTACTTTCTGTCTCTGTCGATCTGTCGAGGTCTTCGAATCCTAGCATGGACCATTATTTGGTTCCTTTCTGTTTCCAAGTGGTGTCCACTGGACAGCTGCACCACATGTGATCTGTTCATCAACCAGCACTGAGCACCCGGGCCATCTGCACTTTGGGGCTATTATAAATAATGTTGCTGTGGGCTTTTGTGTACAAGTCACTGGGTGGAAATAATGTTTTCGTTTCTGTCAGGTGTGTAACTAACAATGGAATTTGGGGGTCATATGGCAAGATAAGTCATATTTTACCCTTTTTGTGTATGAGTGTGGGTGCTGGAAGGGAACCCAGGGCCTCATGCGTGCTAGGCAAGCRCCCGACCACTGACTGCGCCCCCGACCCTTAATGCAATTATTTTAAAATATAAAACTCAATGCAAAAAAAAAAAAAAAATCCACAATGAACAACAACGTATCAACTTTTAAATAAACACAGGCAGTTGTACGTGTTGTGCCACAGGAACAGTCATTTCTAGTCAGCCAGTGGCTTCCAGGGCACGCACGTGACTTTATGGGGGCGGGTGACRGTGTCGGGCGAGTGAGAGACACAGAATTTTGCACTCAGTGTTTCGTTCTGTTTTGTTAAATTGTAGATCATTCATCTACTTTTTCTACTTGGTTCAAAGTATGAGAGGCCTCTTTGGCCCAGGCCACCATGTCAACTTGGACCATGGTACGCTCTGGGCACCAAATCCCAACCTCTCTGCCAAGGTTAACTTTCCCTGGCCCACCACTAGTGAGTGGTACAGGTGGGATTCGAACCCAGACCCAAGGCCAGAGGCCAGCCCTTTACACTCAGARCCCTAGGGAGGGCCAAGGGACAGCCACTGGAGCTCTCTGAAGTCTTCTCCTTAAGGAGGCAAAGCAACGCCTACTTTATATCATTGTTGTGAGGAACAGATATGAACAAGCATCAGCAACTGTGAAATTTACTCTGCTTCCCGGAAGTGCTTGCCCTGAACATGACATCCCTGTGAAATGTCCCCATGTGTGCTGCAGGGACTTGCCAATCACGGCTCATGTCCCCCAAATGAAGCCCCATGTGAAATTTTTATTTTAGAGCTAAGGGTTAGAACAATAATTGGGTTCCCCCGAGTCTCAGCTCTGTCTCCTCTTGAGCAATGAGAAAAACAGAACAGATGAGGTTTCCCTCCTCACTCTGGCCACTAGGAAACGCAAAGCCAGGTKTGGAATTCTAAAGAAGCAACTGCACAGGTTCTTGTTTATTTGGGTTTTGATTTTTTTTCCTGGAATTCCTTTCATAATTTATATTAGCCTTGATGTTTACATTTTTATTTTAATTTTCATGTCATAAGTTGTATTTCCCCAATGGTCACCTAAATCCTTTGCAAAACGTGTCAAGCGGAAATAAATCTTTTGAAAGAACTAGAAATTGTTTAGCAAGTGTTCAGGCTGTTTATTAGTCTCCCCAAAACACAGGAGGCAGCAGCACTGCTGAAGACCTGTCTGGGGTCACACACCACCCTGTGGCCTCTGGCTGAGCCCAGGCCTGGGCCTTGACCTCCTTTTGTTAGAGGAAGTGGGAATTGGGACGGGGGACCAGCAAGGCTGCGCCCCACAGTGCAGAGCCTCATGCCAAGCTTCAATCCCCAGGTGKGCTCCAGAGGCAGGCTGGACGCCAGGGGCATCCTGTCCCTGGGTGAATTCACGTCCAAACTCCAGTTTTGGGGTTGCCAAAGGAGGGTCTCAGAGCCAGCCCAGGGGCAAATTGGGGCGGCCCATTTTGGTCCCGGCTTCCACCCTCCTTTCTGCCTCTGTCCCTTACTGGGGTCCTTCCACCTGCCTTTCGAGGGATCCCTTGCCATTGGGATTCTCTGGGCCCCGGGGACCTCTCCCCCAAAGGCAGCGGGGTGCTTTGTTGCTCTCCGGGTTTGCAGGAACACCCCGCCTCAGGAAAGGCGGAMGCTCAGGGTCATGGTGAAGGTGAGATCCTGGCTGAGGCCTCTGGCTGAGGGAGGGTCCTGGTTTGCAGGTCGGGAGGGAGATGCAYGGTTAGCGGGGACAGGGACCTTCCCAGAGGTCTTCGGTGAGAGGCACACAGCTGCCCTGGGTGGGTCTGTGAATAAGTGTGATGTGATTTTGGTGGCCAAGCAAGGACGTGGTGGCCAGGCRGGGGAGCTGAGAAAGGGGAAGGGGCTGGGTTCTTTTTCACCCCTGACAAGAGCACTTTCTCACTTCCCTATTCCCAGACCTGCCCTGGGCCTCAGGACCTCCYCAGGAGGCCGATCCCAGGGACAAAGAGTGGGCATGTTCCTCTGCAGGGGTGACCACCCCSCCAGCAAACCACAACCCCCCACCCCAGCAGGGAGCAGCTCCCAGGGGCRCCCGGGTCTCACAGATTCCTTCTTGCCCCTCCAGGGAAGCCCTACGGGGCCGACGACTTCCTCCCGGTGCTCATGTACGTGCTGGCCCGCAGCAACCTGACCGAGATGCTGCTCAGCGTGGAGTACATGATGGAGCTCATGGACCCCGCCCTGCAGCTGGGGGAGGGTGAGTCGACCCCCGGCCCCCCACACCCCAGGCCAGATGGCACAGCAGTCAGGGAGYGCTTCCCGGAGGAGGTGATGCCTGAACGAAGCACTGGAGGAGAACAGGCTCAGCAGATAAAGATGGGAAGGGGTTCCTCCCAGAGGGAAGAGATGAGACGTGACACGGGCAGTGTCCACGTGAGGAGTCTAACAGGGAGTGGTCAGTTCCTCGAATGGCCCCAGGGACCCCCGGCCCTGCTCACCCAGCCCTGCTCAGGACCTCTGTTGGTGGGGCAGGTTACTGAGGTGGCAAGGCCCCGCTCCCCAGTAGGACGAGGGAGGGGTGTGGTTAGCTGCACCCACCCCCAGCCTCCCTTCCCCTGCCTCCTTCCCTCCACTTCCTCCKCCCACAGCCTCAGCCACCCTGCCACCAAGAATCCCTTGAAGGGCAGATGGCCCCATACCAGCTCTGAGGAGCCCCGACCAGGCCCCCAGTGTCCCCTTTGGGCTTTGTGGTTCTTGAGATTAGGTGACTCTCTTTTGCATCTATTTGCATTTTTAGCATGTTTCTGGGGTGGCAGTTTCATGTGAGTGGTTCTGTGAGTTCTATTTTAAAGTGTTTTTATTATAATCATGCATAATAGTGGGGTTCATTTTGACATCATCATACATGCATGGAACATTATTTGCTCCATCTCAGTCTCCAGGAATTCCCTTTCCACCAAGTCTGTGAGTTCTTGAAAGATCAGGGGAGCTGTGAGCTTTACTGTCATATGTAATCGTGGCTCGTGGCTCTGGTGTCTCTGCAGCTACTTTCCTCTTTAGTTAAATGTTTCCTGCAGGTGGGGCAACTTGTCATACATACATACATGAGGTCTAGGAGCTCAGAAGGAGCCAAATTTTCTTTAGTTCATCCATCCACCCACCATCCATCCATCTACCCATCCATTCATCAACTCATCCGTCCATCCAGTCTTCCATCTATCCATTCATCCATCCATCCAACTCATCCACCACACATCCACCCATCCAATCACCCATTCATCCATCTATCCATCAACTCATCCATCTATCAGCTCATCCATCCACCCATCCATCCATCTACCTATCCAATCATCCATCCATCCA